GTGCAGCTTCAGGAGCATCTCCTTCACCTGAGAGGCGCAGGCGGCGGCGGTCGCTGAAGCCTGCTGCCCTGGCCCCCCAGGACTCGTGACGCCCATGCCCGCCGGGGGGCAGCTCACCTGGGGGGCCAAAGGCTGCCCTGTGCAGGGCGCAGCTCCAGCCCACGAGACAGGGCCCGCGTCGTGCGCGCCGGGCCCGAACGCGTGGAACGCTCCCATGGACGGGTCCGTGGCTCCTGCTGGGGCGCCAGGCGCCGTCGCACCTGCCAGCACAGGCGGCGGGGCTGCAGGCGGGGGGAGGGGCGGCAGCGAGGGGGCTGCGGCCACCTCTGCGTGCTCCGTCGTGCCGCCGCTGGCCTCCCCCTCCAGGCGCAACTGCTCCAGCTGGGCCCTCAGCGTCTCGACCTCACCTCGACTGCCTCGCAAGGAACTCCACCATTCTCGGATGCCGCGGACGAGGCTCCACAACAGCGCGACGAGGATCGTGAAGCCTCCGAGCCCCAAGCGCACCACACTGCCTCGTCCCGTCTCCGCGTTGAGGGACAGACCAGCGATCAGGCAGCCCACGGGGCCGACCGCACGAGGGCCCAGCCAGCGAATGAGGCCGAACACCACTCCAGTCTCGGAGCCCTCTGCGTCGCTAGGATCCGAGCGAGGAGGAGGGGCCATCAGCAGATCTCAGGCATCTGCAACCTTCCCTGGATGGTCACCGCGCGAATGGCCCCTCAGGCCGTCATCGCATCGTTGACCCGGAATTGCTATGAGACAAGGGATGCTGCATGAGCTGATAGATCAGCCACTATACATTAATACCCATCCGTCAACTCTCATTCAATCATATATATATATATATATATATAGATTTCGATGCTTATCTTTCTATGTACGCATATGTATACATATACCTATCTATCTATCCTTCACACACATATATATGTGTATATCTATGTATGTATATATACATATATATATATACATATACATGTGTGTGTGTGTGGGTGTGTGTCTAGTTGTTGCGAAGGCTTTACGGCCGGTGCCGCCGACCCTGGAGGCCTCGGCTCTCGACCGAAATGGGAGGGAGAGGGCCAGCCAGGAGGGTGATATTCTGACCCGGGACCACCCCCCTGGACCACCTCCAGGGACCTCCCCCCTCCGCGAGGAAGGGATTAAAGTGGAGGGGCTTCCGTTCGACTCAGTGACAACGTTGCTTCATTTCGCTGTGGATGGGCTGGTGTATTTCGCTTTGGCTGGTGTGCTTGAGGACGAGGGCCTAAGGAAAGGGGGGGGAGCGGCGACGGGCTCAGGGGAAGGAGGAGACGTGATGGCGGCGGCGACGCCACGACGGCAGCGACGGCGATGGCGACGGAACAGCCCCTGTCACACGCCGACAGGGTCGGTGGATTATTATTACTATTATTATTATTATTATTATTATTCTGGTCTTGGTCTCCCTCACTCCTCACCGTACCTAGGACCTTCAGCACCCACACAGCGTGCCCTATAGGGCAACCTTTTTGTTCACGCCCTTTTTTTGCATGTCTTCTCATCGTTACGTGCTTGGTTTTTAGTTGTATGTTTTTTCGCATAAGGCAGATTCTGTATGTGACGCCCACACGCAACAATTGTACAGCTTACAGTATGTCCGCTCAACGTCACAAGGGGGACAGGAGGGAGGAAGAGGGTAGGGAAAGGGGCGGGGGCGGAGGCAGGTCGAGGAAAAGCCACCATGGATCAAGGCGCGTGGATTACCGACGGGTCCCGTTCCTATGCGAACCCGGCGCGCTCCGTCGCCAACTCATGCGGCACTGACTTCACAGCGTGCTCCCGACCGATGCGGCCCTTGCCGCGCCTGGACCGACTGACCACAGCAGCAGTGAGGCGGACAGACCGCTCTCCTCCCCTCTGGGCGACTGGGGCCCGTCCTCCCCCCCCGCCAGCCTCGCCGACAGAGTTGGAGACGGGCAGCTGGCGGCGCAGCGCCTCAGCAGACCCATGGCCCGCCGCCGCCCGCACCGCCAGCACCGCCAGCACCGCGCGCGGCCGCCGCGGCCGCAGGCAGCGCGGCACAGGCATCCCGGCGGCACCTCGCAGCAGGAAATGGGACCGCCGCGCCGGGCGGGGCGCTGGGGCCCTGACGGGCGCGGCGCTCGCGCGGCCGGAAGGCCTCCTCGGAAGGCGGCGGGGCTTCTCGGAAGCCCTCGCGCCTTCCGAGACGTGCTCCCGTGCCTCTGGGGCAGGCTTGACCAGAAAGCTTCTCGGCAGGCCAGGGGGACTCCTCCGAGCCTTCTGAGCAGGCCTTCTCCGTCTCGCGCCCCCCCCAGGCTCGCCGCCCGCGTGCCAGCGGCAGACGAGCCGGGCACAGGACCACGGCCGCTATACCTTGGGTCCGCCGCCTGTGGCGCGGGCGCCTCCAGCCGGCCGCACTCCGAAGGGCCCCTCGGGGGCGCCGCTCGGCAGGACGCACCGGCGCCAGATTCAGGTCGGGCATATCCCCTTACAGGTGGACCTTGGGCGAAACATTGAAGATGCCCCCAGAAGTACCCGAAATTAAGCAAAAGATGTTCAAAGAATCGTCCCCAGACTATTTTTGGACTATTTCTGAATATTCCTCCTGTAGAGGGACGTGCCCGACTTAACGCCAGATAGAGGGGGACCCCCAGTGCAAGTGCTACCGGGGAGGGGTGCGCCACAAAGGCAAGCGCCAGGAGCCCCCAGCCAGGTGGCCTTCTTGCTAAAGAGGGATGCCAGAGTCATGCTTGTGGACGGATAGCACGCCTGGTGCGACGAGCACGCGAAGATCGGGGAACCAACCACCTGCGATCCGCTCCAGCACCCTGGAGGGGACAGGTTCCGCGAGAACTTCCCGAATTCGCTCCGCGACTTCAGCTACGACACAGTCGCCCTGGCCGGGAACGGACCCCAGCTTTCTTTCCCGGTTCCTTCGCCGATTCGGTGCCTTGGCTTCGGCCCACCCAGCCACCGCCGGCATTGTGTGGGACGGCTGTGGGGCGGTCCAACCTGCCCCTCCCCCGCTGTCTCTCTCACCAGCCCTGCCACCGATTGGGTACCCTCGCCGTCCGCCCCTCGTGGCGTCTTCTCCTCCCCGACTTTCTCCGCCCCCCTTCTCGTCGCCCCCCCTCCCTCGGCCGCCATGGCCGCCGCCTGCTACGCAGGCCCTGGCGCTCTGCGCCACTTCTCGGTCCTCCCCGACACGACCTGGTCCCTGGGTCACGTCTGGCTGCATCGCCGCTGCCTGTTCCCCGTTCCCCTTCTGGACATCGGTCTGGCGCGGCAGCCCTTTTTTCGAAGGCTCCAGCTTGGCTTTCGGTCACTTGTCCGCGGGGGGCCCCGCTGCGGTCCAGAAGGTGTTCCCCAGCAAGGCCTGCTCCTTGGGTTGCGGTTGCGCCTGGCTGGTGATGCCGCTGTCCCCTCCTGGACCCCCGTCCGGCTCGGCAGCCCTGTCGGAGGTTCGCAGCCAAGCTGGCCCCTTCGGCCGCAGGTCCATCGGCTCGACACCTTGAGGCCCTGGCCATCCGGCATTTTGCCCTAATCAGGCGCACTCTAGGGGAACGAAAAATGGCATAAACATAAAAACTCGGAGGTCCGCGCGGATTTCTTGGATCCGCGCTGGACCCCCCTCCCTGGCGCGCGGAGCGCGCCGTGGGCGGCGCCAGAGGCTGCGCCAGGGAGGTCCAGCGCCGATCCGAGAAGCAGGTCCCTCGAAGCTCCCTCGAAGCTCCCTCGAAGCTCCTTCGAAGCTCGCTTTTCGAAGCTTGCAAGCTCCCCAGGCATGCTTCAGCGTCCTGGCAAGCGTCTCTCACGGGCTTTCTCCAAGCTTGCAAGTTCCCCAGATATGCTTTCGAGCGTCCTTGCAAGCGTCCCCCATAAGCGTTTTATGCGCTTTCGACTGCGCTGCTATCCGGGTTTTGGACTGCACGATTGATGATGATGATGCTGATGATGATGATGATGATGCTGATGATGATGATGCTGCTGCTGATGATGATGATTATGCTGATTATGATGATGATGATGATGATGATGATGATGATGATGGTCATGATGATGATGATGATGATGATGATGATGATGATTATGATGATGATGATGATGATTATGATGATGATGCTGATCATGTTGATGATGATGCTGATGATTCGCTGATGATGATGCTGATAATGATAATAATGTCGGCGACGATGATGACGGTGCTGATGGCGATGGTGATGGTGGTGGTGGTGATGATGACGACGACGGCGATGGCGATCATGTTGATGATGCTGGTGATGCTGGTGATGATGATGAGTCTGATGCTGATGAGTCTGATGATGATGATGATGACGATGATGATGCTGATGATGATGATGATGATGATGATGATGTTGGTGTTGATGCTCGTGATGTTCATGGTGTTGATGCTGGTGGTGTTGTCGTTGTTGTTGTTGTTGTTGTTGTTGTTGTTGTTGTGGTTGTGGTTGTGGTTGTTGTTGTTGTTGTTGTTGTTGTTGTTGTTGTTGTTGTTGTTGTTGTTGTTGTTGTTGTTGTTGATGATGATGATGATGATGATGATGATGATGTTGTTGTTGTTGTTGTTGTTGTTGTTGTTGTTGTTGTTGTTGTCGTTGTTGCTGCTGCTGTTGATGATGACGATGATGACGGCGGTGATGGTGATGATGGTGGCGATAATTTAGGGGGGGATTATGATGATGAGCAGGATGATGAGGAGTATGAAGGAGGAGTTCGGCGGAGGAAACAAATGGGAGGGATGACGAGGAACTGGGAGGAGGAGGAGGAGGAGGAGCGAGGAGGAGGAGAAGGATCAGGTGAAGGAGGAGGAAGGAGGAGGGGATGAGGATCGGAACGGAAGCATAATACTAAGAGTACCAGAAGAACAATGATAACAATAATGCGCATGCGAGTCGTAAGAGCAATATGGCGAGGAATGCAGATACCACGACGAAGAGAAGGAGGAGCGGCCCGCGCCCCTCTGTCCCCGCCCCGAGGCGCAGGCGGCGGCCGCCGCGAGGGACGTGGAGAACCTGAGGGCCGCGCTGAGGAAGGCGGAGGCCGCGGCCTCCAAGGGCATGGCCGGCGGCGACGTGCGCTCGCAGCCCAGGAGTGTCCCCTCGACAGGGCGCGCCCGCCCGCCAGCGTATCGTCTCAGAGTGCCCTCCTCCCCCCTCCTCCTCCTCTTCCTCCTTCTCCTCCTCCTGCTCCTCCACTCCTCCTCCTCCACCTCCTCCTCCTCCTCCCTCCTCTCCTCCTCCTCCCTCCTCCTCCTCCTCCTCCTCCTCCTCCTCCTCCTCCTCCTCCTCCTCCTCCTCCTCCTCCTCCTCTCCTCCTGCCTCCTCTCTCCTCCTCCTCCTCGCCTCCTCCTCTCTCCTCCTCCTCCTCCTCCTCCTCCCCTTCTCCTCCTTCTCCTCCTTCCTCCTCCCTCCTCCTCCTTCCTCCTCCTCCTCCTCCTCCTCCTCCCCTCCTCCTCCTCCTCCCCTCCTCCCCTTCCTCTCCTCCTCCATTCCTCCTCTCCTCCTCCTCCTCCTCCTCCTCCTCCTCTTCATCCTCCTCCTCCCCTTCCTCTTCCTCCTCTTCCTCTTCCTCCTTCTCCTCCTTCTCCTTTTCTCCTTTTCTCCTCCTCCTCCTCCTCCTCCTTCTCCTCCTCCTCCGGGGGGCGAGACGGTTTGAGGGCCTGGCGACCTTTCTGAAGTCGACTTTCGGGTAACAAGGCCAGGTGGCCCGAGGCAAATGCAGATGGGCACCGGAAGACTACGGGGTCGACGGTGCGGACATGCGCGCGCAAGCTTCCCGCGTAAGGTGGCGCGTGCGCGCCCTCGCTTCCCATGTGGCGTGCCGCGCTGGCGGCCCACGTAAGCCACCGCGTACATGCGCCGTGCCATCTCGCGTAAGGCCCGTTGCTCTTCGTCGCTCAGATAAATCGAGGGTAGATTTAAGCCCTGGCGTGTTACAGGAGGAATATTCAAAACTAGTCAAAAAAACAGTCTGGGGACTATTTTTGATTATTTTTCAATGACGGGGCGCTCGCGTAAATGTACCGGGGTCCTTTCGAAATTGTTTCGCAACTATTCTTGGGAATTTCTTTCAAATTAAAATCCGACCCTCCATCCCTCCAAACTCCGCCGCAGGCGCCCGGAATAATAATAATTTCAAATTGCGGCAGTACCCCCAAATTGGAGGCATACCCCCTGGATTTGCCCAGGACCCCCCAGGAATCTTAGGGGCCCTGACGGATTCTGATGGACTCTGCTGGTTTCTGGAGCCGCGTCCTGGAGGATTCCTCCCTGGACGCTCTCTTGGAGCCGTTTCGGGCCGTTTTGGGATTCCGCTTGGGCCGTCTCGAGGCCATCTTAAGTTGTCTTGCGTCTTGGGCCGTCTTGAATCGGTCTTGGGCAATCTTGGCGGCCCTGGTGGCCTGTTTGGGCCAGGTGGCAGTCATCTTGGATTCCTCGGAGGGCGCCAGGGGCATGTCTCGGCGCCGCATCTTGGACACCATCTGGTATCTGGAATCCAGATGTCTGCCACCTTGGATTCCTCGGAGGGTGCCGGGCCATGTCTCGGACATGGCCCGGCACCGTTCGGCGCCGCATGTCCGTGCATGTCTCGGTGGCAGTCATCTTGGATTCTTCGGAGGGCGCCGTATGGAAAAAGTATTGAGTGGCAGTGCATCGCCTCATGTTGAGGCCCAGAATGCAAGTGAAACAATTGTTTTTTCTCAACCAGCTTTCTGGTGACCCCCCCTTCGTGGGTCACCTGGTGTGCTTGCGCCGTATCGAAAACGCATTGGGTGGCAGTGCGTCGCTTCATGTTGAGGCCCAGAATGCAAGTGAAACAATGGTTTTTCTCAACCAGTTTTGTGCTGACCCACCCCTTCGTGGGTCACCTGGTGTGCTTGCGCCGTATCGAAAACGCATTGAGTGGCAGTGCGTCGCCTCATTTTGAGGCCCAGAATGCAAGTGAAACAATTGTTTTTTCTCAACCAGCTTTCTGGTGACCCCCCCTTCGTGGGTCACCTGGTGTGCTTGCGCCGTATGGCAAACGTATTGAGTGGCAGCGCATCGCCTCATGACGAGGCCCAGGATGCAAGTGAAACAATTGGTTTTTCTCAACCAGTTTTCTGGTGACCCACCCCTTCGTGGGTCACCTGGTGTGCTTGCGCCGTATGGCAAACGTATTGAGTGGCAATGCCTGGCCACATGACGAGGCCCAGAATGCAAGTAAAACAGTTGGTTTTTCTCAACCAGTTATCTGGTGACCCACCCCTTCGTGGGTCACCTGGTGTGCTTGCGCCGTATGGAGAACGTATTGAGTGGCAGTGCGTGGCCACATGACGAGGCCCAGGATGCAGGTGAAACAATTTGTTTCTTTCAACCAGTTTTCTGGTGACCCACCCCTTCGTGGGTCATCTGGTGTGCTTGCGCCGTATGGCAATCGTATTGAGTGGCAATGCATCGCCTCATGTTGAGGCCCAGAATGCAAGTGAAACGCTTGGCTTTTCTCAACCAGTTTTCTGGTGACCCACCCCTTCGTGGGTCACCTGGTGTGCTTGCGCCGTATCGAAAACGCATTGAGTGGCAGTGCGTCGCTTCATGTTGAGGCCCAGAATGCAAGTGAAACAATGGTTTTTCTCAACCAGTTTTGTGGTGACCCACCCCTTCGTGGGTCACCTGGTGTGCTTGCGCCGTATCGAAAACGCATTGAGTGGCAGTGCGTCGCCTCATGTTGATGCCCAGCATGCAGGTGAAACAATTTGTTTTTTCTCAACCAGCTTTCTGGTTACCCACCCCTTCGTGGGTCACCCGGTGTGCTTGCGCCTTATGGCAAACGTATTGAGTGGCAATGCGTCGCTCCATGACGAGGCCCAGCATGCAAGTGAAACAGTTGGTTTTTCTCAACCAGTTTTCTGGTGACCCACCCTTTCGTGGGTCACCTGGTGTGTTTGCGCCATATGGCAAACATATTGAGTGGCAGTGCGTCGCCTCATGTTGAGGCCCAGGACGCAGGTGAAACAATTGTTTTTTCTCAACCAGTTTTCTGGTGACCCACCCCTTCGTGGGTCACCCGGTGTGCTTGCGCTGTATGGAAAACGTATTGAGTGGCAGTGCATCGCCTCATGACGAGGCCCAGGATGCAGGTGAAACAATTTGTTTTTCTCAACCAGTTTTCTGGTGACCCACCCCTTCGTGGGTCACCTGGTGTGCTTGCGCCGCATGGAAAACGTATTGAGTGGCAATGCATCGCCTCATGTTGAGGCCCAGAATGCAAGTGAAACAATTTGTTTTTCTCAACCAGGTTTCTGGTGACCCACCCATTCGTGGGCCACCTGGTGTGCTTGTGCCGCATGGAAAACGTATTGAGTGGCAATGCATCGCCTCATGTTGAGGCCCAGAATGCAAGTGAAACGCTTGGCTTTTCTCAACCAGTTTTCTGGTGACCCACCCCTTCGTGGGTCACCTGGAGTGCTTGCGACGTGTCGAAATCGCATTGAGTGGCAGTGCGTCGCCTCATGTTGAGGCCCAGAATGCATGTGAAACAGTTGGTTTTTCTCAACCAGGTTTCTGGTGACCCACCCATTCGTGGGTCACCCTGTGTGCTTGCGCCGCTTGGGAAACGTATCGAGTGGCAATGCATCGCCTCATGTTGAGGCCCAGAATGCAAGTGAAACAATTGTTTTTTCTCAACCAGTTTTCTGGTGACCCACCCCTTCGTGGGTCACCTGGTGTGCTTGCGCCGAATGGAAAACATATTGAGTGGCAGCGCATGGCCACATGACGAGGCCCAGGATGCAGGTGAAACAAATTGTTTTCCTCAACCAGTTTTATGGTGACTCACCCCTTCGTGGGTCACCTGGTGTGCTTGCGCCGTATGGCAAACGTATTGAGTGGCAGTGCGTGGCCTCATGACGAGGCCCAGAATGCAAGTGAAACAGTTGGTTTTTCTCAACCAGTTATCTGGTGACCCACCCCTTCGTGGGTCACCTGGTGTGCTTGCGCCGTATGGGAAACGTATTGAGTGGCAATGCATCGCCTCATGTTGAGGCCCAGAATGAATGTGAAACAATGGTTTTTTCTCAACCAGTTTTCTGGTGACCCACCCCTTCGTGGGTCACCTGGTGTGCTTGCGCCGTATCGAAAACGCATTGAGTGGCAGTGCGTCGCTTCATGTTGAGGCCCAGAATGCACTTGAAACAATGTGTTTTTCTCAACCAGTTTTCTGGTGACCCGCGCCTTCGTGGGTCACCCGGTGTGCTTGCGCCGTATGGCAAACGTATTGAGTGGCAGCGCATCGCCTCATGACGAGGCCTAGAATGCAAGTGAAACAGTTGTTTTTCGCAATCAGTTTTCTGGTGACCCACCCCATCGTGGGTCACCTGGTGTGCTTGCGCCGTATGGCAAACATATTGAGTGGCAGTGCGTCGCCACATGACGAGGCCCAGGATGCATGTGAAACAATTTGTTTTTCTCAAGCAGTGTTCTGGTGACCCACCCCTTCGTGGGTCACCTGGTGTGCTTGCGCCGCATGGAAATATTGGGTGGCAGTGCGTCGCTTCAGGACGAGGCCCAGGATGCAGGTGAAACAATTTGTGTTTCTCAACCAGCTTTCTGGTGACCCACCCCTTCGTGGGTCACCTGGTGTGCTTGCGCCGTATGGAAAACGTATTGAGTGGCAATGCGTCGCCTCATGTTGAGGCCCAACATGGAAGTGAAACAGCTGGTTTTTCTCAACCAGTTTTCTGGTGACCCACCCCTTCGTGGGTCACCTGGTGTGCTTGCGACGTATCGAAATCGCATTGAAAGGCAGTGCGTCGCCTCATGTTGAGGCCCAAAATGCAAGTGAAACAATTGGTTTTTCTCAACCAGTTTTCTGGTGACCCACCCCTTCGTGGGTCACCTGCTGTGCTTGCGCCGCATGGAAAACGTATTGGGTGGCAATGCATCGCCTAACGTTGAGGCCCAGAATGCAAGTGAAACAATGTGTTTTTCTCAACCAGTGTTTTGGTGACCCACCCCTTCGTGGGTCACCTGGTGCGCTTGCGCCGCATGGGAAACGTATTGAGTGGCAATGTATCGCTTCATGTTGAGGCCCAGAACCAGTTTTCTGGTGACCAACCCCATCGTGGGT